CTGGTTTAAAGTCACTGCTCTGGGGTGTTTATTGGAACTAGTCTGAGGAGTTATCCATCTCAAATCCTGTTCTGTTTATCTAGAATCTTGTTTTTCTGCCTTCTGCTTCCCTCTTCACACACGTTTTTAAATTACTACATCTCATTTTAGTTCATGCACCCACTACACTTCTAGCTATACCCACCAATTTCCCACTTCCTGTGCCAGGTACTGAACTCAAAAGATTTCCTTGCGACACCAAGCAGAAGCCACACCAATTACACTTACAGGGCAGGTCGCATGACTGGCCCCTACCCATATATATGTAACCCAACCAATTAAGGAAATAATCCGGTCTCAGCAATAGAAGTTTTTCATTCTGTGAATAGTGTGTTTCTAGAAGGGTAGGTAGAGTGTCTTTATAAGAAAAACAGGAAGCCAGACAAGGACAGGTCTTGGAGAAGGTTCAAGACAGAAGCAGAGAAAGAAGTAGCTTTCAAAAGAAAGCAATTTTCCTGTTTGTTCATAAAGCTCCATATTCAGAGTTAGAATAAAGTGACTCTCTGCCCTTACCACGTCATCTATTTTCCTCCCTCCTCAACTTCAGCATGTATCTGACGAATTTGCCATTTCTTTTTTTTAATATCAGTCACATATAAGTGGTCTTCGAAGGATTACATTTATATTAGTGAATATCAGTTTCACCATACAAATGCAAATGAAAAATATTAAACCCTAAGTTTACAGATAGGCAAAGTAAGAAAAACATTGCTCATGCACTCACCTGGATTTCAAGCTATTTGTATGTTTTTACATGTGCTCTTGATAATTTGCATGTTCATTTTTCAAAAGTTTTCACTTTTTGAAGTCAGTGTCTACTGTCAGTTATTGCCGTCTGACCTCCTCCATATTTTTGCAGAATTGTAATAATTTAAAAATAAACATTTGTAATTTCTGTTGATTTAACCTCCCCCCACAAATTCTGACAAGCCTCACCACTGAATATTGCTTCTTCCAAAGACAGCATTGCTTCAAGTTTCGGCTTGTGTTCATTCTGAAATGACCTTATTAGATATTTATAATGGTCTTGTCGATGGTTCTATACATTGACTAAAGTGTCATTTCTTGATCTTGTTTTATTTATCTGTGGCATCTGACATGTTTATTTGTAATATGAGCGCAGGGGCCCATCTCATGGCTGGATTCAAATCTCACTGATCATTCTTGTCACTGGCTTTGTGGTTGGAAGAAGAGGGAAAATATCCTTGTTCTCCTGACTTACCATGATCACACAGGATTCTATTTGGAGCCATTGCTTTTATTCACACTTTAGAGCCACCTACCAAGCAACATCTATGGTATTTAATCCATCTTTATCTAGATCTGATCATTATTCTTTTTTTTTCAAGTGGCTTTGCCGTCATTTATCATGTTGCATAAGTGATACTTCTAAGTGGATAAGTGAGAACCCTCTTGCTATTAAATATAGATGAGAGAAATGCTGCTTTGTGGCCCCATTTCATGGAGTGCTGTATTTTGAGGTTAATTCTCCCCATATTACTCCTTTCCCCACAGCCAGATGCATGCAATATTTGATTATTACCTGCTGTTTCAACTCACATCAAATCAGTTAATACAAATCCACTTGCTAAACAACCTTTCAGAAATGCATGGATTAACTGTTCCTAACACTGCAGCCCTGGAGCGCACATTGGTTCTCTCCAACTTAAATTATTTCAACCATCTTCCAACCCATTTTTTTTTCTTTTCTGATGCCTATCATCGCCTCCTTTAGAAGTCTCCATTGTTTACTACTACAGCAGCTGATCTTATTTCAGATTCTCAAATATTCATGCCCCTCAACATTTCATACCGATGTGCGGCTTCTTTTTACAAACTCACAACTGTGTCCATCCTTGATACCCATATTTTTGGGTCACCTCTAAACATCAAGCCTTCATCCAAGATGCCTATAAAAGTAACAATACTTGTTGGAAATCTCCCACCTGGTATTGATATTACCCATTCTTTCACCACATTTAATTGATCCAAGTTCTATTTTTAACACGCTCCATATTTGTATGCACTGTTGGCTGTACCGACTTTGGAGTTACACATTCTGATCAGCACCTTCATACACATGAAGTGTGTTGTAACAATCTCTTCAATAACCTGGGTCTAAGACACTGAATAGTTAACAGCACAAGTTAGGTGAAAAAGTTGCATTTTATGTAATAAAAGAATTGTGATTTCTGGTAATGGGTTTCATGCCATACACATTATTTACTAGGCTGCACTTCATTGTTAGAAAAAGATGATTGCTGGAATAAGCAGCAGCATTTTCCTAATTGCTATTATGAAGATTGAATTTTTGTTTTGCTTTAAGTGTTATTCACACATTACACTTGAAAACGTGATCTCTAAATGATGCTTTTATGCAGGTAACAGAACTTCCTCAATCTAAAGAACTAATTTTGGCTTTTCTGCTCTGTTTGTATTGTTCCATCATCATAGATGATAATTCTGTATGAAAGCATGAACTGAAGAGTTTTAAAATGTGGGAATTATTTTTTAAAGCTTTTAAAAAGTGGCACACAACTTGCTCTACAACAGAAAAAAAGGTCAGCCAGCCAAATATATAATCTTCCTCTGAACAGGACAAAGTAACCTTACAGTCACAAAATAAACTCACTAGATTAAACTTAATTCAACTTGCACATCCAAAAAAAGAAAAGAAAAAGCAATGGAACACTTTTGAGAGTTGAGCTGCTTCAGAGCCTTTGAAATCCAGAAACCTTCATTTGTGTTTTTACAGCATAAGCAATATGCAACCACTTAAAACTACTTTTATCCGCCATCCAGTGGTCTGCAAAGTTGCTGGAGAAGATTTTGACAGATTCTTCTTATCTACTTCATTTTCAAAACTCTAGCATGTTGACAAGGAATCAGAGAACTCAACAGAAATCACGATTTCTATCTTCTGGGTCAGTTTATTTGGAAATTTCAAGAAGCCAACCTGACTGCTATCATATTGGTAAGACTGGTTATACATTCCAGACATTAAATTTGTAAATAAGACATCTCTGAATTGACAATCATGCTAAGACTATGAATTTCATTGAATTGTGCAGAACAGCAGCAATAAGATATTTTTATATTTTTGTAAATAAAAAAGGAAAAAGTCTCATGGAAAAAGAGTCCATCCAGATTTTATTCACCATAACCTGCAGGTCAAGCAAGGGTTAGGCAAAGTGCTTTAATTCTATTCCATAATATTAGACCTAAGGGTCTCTGCACTTGCAAATAAGTTGGAGTGCACTGATTGTGTGGATACCTCAAAAAAGTCCATTATAGCCAAAGCTACAGGTCTGATAATTTTTATCTGTATTCTTTTGGTTATTTTAATGCTAGAAAACCTCAGTATACCAATTATGAAACCTACTGGTTAGAAACCACCAGATGTGGGTTATTTTTTTAATACTCAGGTTCTTCCTATTCTAAATATTTCTCAGTTCATAGAATCCATTTTAACACTACAAAGACAGCATAAAAGGAAATCCTCCCCTTTCAACCCAATATTTGAATTACTTAGTTTTAACTACTGTTAGTGTTATGTGATTAGAACCAATTTTGACAGAGGAAAACAATTCCTCTTTGTCTCGAGAACTGAAACACATCTAATGTAGCAATGTTGCTACTACTGATGTCAAAGCGTTTAACTTCATAGGGTTCCACATGTATTAAAACCCTTCTTTTGGGTTTTCTCTTGTTTGTAAACTGATGGAAATGCAGTACCTCTATTCTGGTTCCTAATGATACCCATGTCTAACTTTACAGCTGTTATAGATCTTTTCACATGCATGGATATGCTGAAATCTACCAGAATCCATTCTAACCAGAAGCACATACCGGTGGAGGCAACACAACAAAGTTAACCATCTAGAAAATGAATAGAAAAGAATGAGCGCTCACACCTTGTTTTTTTTAAAAAGATATTTTGACGTCAAAAAATTGCAATCACAATGTTTATAGGAAAGCTAAACATTATGGTAGTACTCCAAAACACTGCATGTGTCACCCAGTAACAAAGCAACATTTGTTTTCTCATTAGAAAACCTGTGATCAAACTTACTGGTAGTTTCAAGGATGAATATGGTGACAGAGCAGTTAAGATGCTTGCCCAAGGGCAAATGACAACCACATGAGGATGACACAGGCTTCCGGACCCTTGGTCTCATGTACTAACTACTAGGTAACAGTACCTTGGGTAATCCATGACTCTTCCCTAAATTATTGCACTGTTCTCCCGCTCCCCTCTTCCCTGGGACAGCTAGCTTTAAAAATAACAGAAGCACATGCCAGCACCCAAATTTATCAACAGTCACTCTCCCCTTTGGCTTCCTTCATTAAGTTACCTTCCATTGTACCATCTCTCCCATTTAGAGAGGAGATTATGACAATAAACCAATGATTCTTTGCCAAAGCAGTTTAGTACAGTTGTACCATCTCTCCCATTTAGAGAGTAGATTATGACAATAAACCAATGATTCTTTGCCAAAGCAGTTTAGCAGGCCTATTAGCTTATTGTGATTATGTTTATAACTATAAAGAAGAGCAGTAAGGTATAGATATTAAACATGAAAATTAAAAAAGATGTGGAAAAGGAAGCCTCAAAATTAAATTCAAAATAAAAGCTATTAAAATAAACAGGTTAAGATGGGCAAAATAGAGTCATGTTGTCATTTGCGAGAGGAAAAAAACACAAATGGATAAAAAAAATGTATCTATCACATGTCCTTCAGCAAACAGAGCCTGAAGTAAAACCCTTTTGGGCTAGCTGACTTGCCAGCAAAGCCAAGGGGAAACAGAGTGTGTTATTGGCAAAGGGGAAAATATCAAAAGGTGAAGGCAGACCACCCAAATGTGCACACCGTGCATACCTGTAAGTAAAAATGGCTCTGACATGTAACAAACATACAGCATACACCGTATATAAGCTTAAGCCATCTCAGCCCACCTACCGTCCTCCTTGTCCAGCACCATCATCTCAAGGATCAAGAGGAGTCCGGATGCAGATGTTCTGTCTCCAGCAGCTTTCACTCTGGGAAGAAGAGAACTAGTCTCTGGGAGCACAGATGAGCCACAGCACAGCTGATCGTCCTTTGAGCCAGTGAGCTCTAATTACCCAGTTGTCCAGCCTTTAACCTAGATTGCACTCAGTTAGAATGACATTCAGGAACGAAGCACTTTGCAGATACAAAAGCAGTCGCACCTACTTTTGTACCTCAGAATTGCAAGGAACTCAAACTGCAATTTAGAAAAAAAAGGGGGGGGGGAGAATCAGAGCTGTTTCTTTGGTTCTCACCTTCTAAATGGCTCAATTTGCACAGTATAATCTGTTTTAATGTAATTGCATTTGATAGCTCATAACCCTGGCTGTTGCAACTACACAGCTTTCAACCCTTTACAAAGTGTTTTCCCCTGGATTTAAGATGACTCTAAATCTCAAATTATATTCAGAGAAAGGGGAGTATGTCTAAGCCTGGCTACTGCTGCCTCTGTCTCTCAATTGGTGCGCTTTGCACACTTGCTCCTGAATAAATGCACACATTTCCCAGGGACCCACTCCTATTCTTCTGTCAGGATTTAATGGTGAATGTAAGCTTTTTAGCTCAGCAGCACCATCTGCAGTACTGTCGCTGCACATTTAGTTTTAATAGCAACTGAGTTTCTAACATTACTAACTTTGCCTCTTTATTGCTGTTCATTATCACCAATCAATTTTCACACAAATTGAGTCTCTCAATATTCATCTTTATGGACAGCATCTTGCACAACTGTGATTTGCTTTCACGTCTCTCTGTCTCCAAAGCATTCCCCCTGACTTTCTCATTTAAAGCTTGAAGTGCCATTTGAAACTGTAGCATGGCTTCTAGGGGTAGACTCTCCGTTTCCCCATTAAACAATTTAAGATTCTCTGTATAGATAGATTGTAAGACCATAACTCTGTTATGCTGCCTTCTTCCATTATTAAGTCTATTTCACAGTTGTGTCATGGTTTAGAAGTAACACTTCCTCAACACTCATTTTGACCTGGCATTTCTATGCACACCAAAAATTACCAAAATACTGTACACTTTGTGAAACTCAGTACTTCATGCAGCATTTCATTTTGAACAACAATTTCTACAGATTGAATGCAATAGTAATCCTAGTCCATTTGCTCAACTTGCTCAGACACATTGTGCTTGCAGTTAGTTCCACTAATACTGGAATATAAAGCGACACATTTGGGGCGGAGGGAGGGGGGAAATCTTCCATCTTTTATCACACGAGTAGCCCTTACTTTCACAAAGTAGCCCATTGTCTTCAATCATGTCAATCAAGATTACAGGATGAGGTCCTTCAATGAGAAGTACAATCTGCAATTTCCGGAGTTGTTTTCTTTTTTAAATCCAAGAAAACATTTTATTCTCATTTTAATGATATTTTCTCCCTCCCCTTTACAACTGATACAACAGTACTCTTTTAAAACATGATAGCAGGCTCAAGTTATATATCCTTAATACCTATTTTTAATTAGATTCCTTATCCTCAGCTCAAATAACTTTTCCTTCCCCCTTCATTTTGAATACTTAATCCTAACAGTCCTTGAACATATTTGATGTTAAATATATCATTTTGCATAGAATCATTTTCTTCCAGTACTTAAAACTTCTATTCTCCTTCTAATATAGCTTGCAAGGATTGAAATTGTACTTTAGGGTAAGAGTGCAACAGCTAAGTGATCATTTATTTTAGCTACTGTAGGTTTAAAAAAAGGGGAACTGCAGGCCAAAGATGTGGGAACTAATACCTACTAGTTAAACATTTTTTAACAAACACTAAGAGAAAAGTAGGAATTTCTAACCTACCACAGATAAATATTTTAGCATTCCTCTAATGCATTGCTAACCTTTATTAGAAATCATATTCCAACATTTTTTGGATCACAGCACCTTACTTTTGGTAATCTTTTTTTTCTATCCCACAGCGTCTATTTTGGGGCAATGCTTTATTTTTGTAAAGAGTAGATTTAATGTAGCTGTTTTGGTAATTACATGTTTAATCTTCTCATCTACATTAAATAACTGCTGTCTATTACCATGGACTTTTTTGTAAACATGCCTACAGATTGATTGATTATGTGGCTGACAAAAATCTTATGCATTAATATGTAGTGCTGTACCGATATGCACTTCTTTCCTCCATTACTTCTACACATCCAGTAACTTGGATTCTTACATTAAACAGCTCTCTCTCTCTCTCTCTCTCTCTCTCTCTCTCACACACACCCCTTCACTAGCAATTAAACAGAATCAGCTACAATTAAACCAGTCTTGTAAACTAGTCACGATATTTGAGATCTGCTTACTGATGTTATTTTTTTAAAAGCAGAGTTCTGCTCTCCACTATAGAAGCATTAGGCGCAATTAGAGATTTGAGGAATATTTATAATAACCTTGAGCTTTGTAATTATCTAGACACTGGGCTGATCAGTTTGTGCAAGGCAAAACAAGAAACACACAGGGCCAAATTTGGCTGTGGCTAACATACTAGAATTGTATCAAGTGCAAGTCTCTAGCGATTTGGGCTCCGAGTTTTCTTTAATTACAGATCTGAAGATTCCTTTTGGGAAAACACTTGCGTAAGTTTCTATTTAATAATATTTGCTACTATCCCATTGGGTTCTATCAGTTGGTTATACTGTGTCACTTCAGACATATGAAGCAATGCTGCCTTACAGACAAAATATGATATGGTGCCACAGTATGTCAGGTCAGGAACTTGACAATTTTTTTTGTCCACTCTCCCTTTACCCACAGTGATATTTGTAGAGCCGTTAGGAAAGTGATGCTGCATTTCTCTTGTCCCTATCGACACCAAGAAGAGTTTGAGTCAAGGCAGCTGTCTATTTACGAGGCAGCAAACTGATTATTAGACCCTGTATGATGATGGCAGTATCACCCTAAGGCTTGCATGCTCCCCTGAAGCCATCACTGCAGCATGTACCCTGAGGCTGGGAGAGCAATCTCCACCAAAACAACAATACAGTTGGACAACTAGCTCTCAGGGATGCAAAAGGAAGAAGCACATTACAACTTCTACCTAAGAGGATGTGAGTGCTCTGCAATGCCCTGAGACTGCTGGAGGAATAAGGGACTTAAGCCATTCCTGGTTTCCCACACAGATGCACGCAGCATTCATTAAGCTATCACTGTGCCGCCTTATGTAAAAAAGTTACCTTTTAAGATTAAAAATGACCCTGCAAAATAAGGAAAAAAGTGAATTGTCTCTGTGTCCTGCAATTTTGGGTTTTTTTAGAAGGTTAACCCAAAAAACAAAACGAAAACAAACACAGACTGGTTCCCAGAAGGAGACCCGCTTGCAATAATAAAACAGACCCATTTTCACTAACAAGGTCTTTCAAGACAAGGAACTGGTATAGCTAGTAGTAATCTTTATTTTAGTCCATTTATATATAACCTGTGCAGATTCAGCATCCTTTTTAACATTCACAGATAATCAGGAAACTGGAGCACCATCCGAGTCAGGCAGAAGGAGAAAGGAAAGCATAGAATATTATGAGGAGGTTATAGTTTCCTCTCAATCTGTCCCTTCCGTTCACCTCCTCATAATATAGTTTCCTCTCAATCTGTCCCTTCCGTTCCTAATTCCTCTGACACTTAATAGGTATAATTTCACATCTAGCATAACTACACTATCAACAGTTTTGAAGACTCCCAGGCATTACTACAGTTTGTTACTCTGATCTACACATCCGGAATTTCTTACTATTCTTCTTCTTAAGTGTCTTTCATTCTAATTTCCTCCTTCCCTTCACCCTCATCCCCATTAGTTCCTTTTATATCACCATTCACGAGAGCTCCTGGAATGAGGGCTGTTGAGAACTGTCTGGATAATCAATGGTTCTAGTTTCACTTCCTTACACCACCATCATTCCAGCCCTGAGCTCCTTACATTTAACGAGTCCATCTGCAATACTTGAAAGAATCCAAATACTCCCATTAGCAAACCCTCTTTAGATCTCAGTCTTTCCTTATAGCTCACCTGCTTCCCTTACTTCTACAGCAGAGCCAGCATCCCGCTGTTAACCCGTCAATCAGATTTAAACAGATATGGGTTGGCAGGCACCCTTTGGCAGAAAGTTAAGAGAGATTAAGATGTTGCCTAGTTTATTATTATTATTGGAGGACTTTCATGCTGAAAGTAAAAAGCTGACCTTTTCCCCCTCAAGTCAAACAAAATTTGCACTGCAACCATTTAAGTTTCATGGATCAACCATTGTGGCTTACCCACAAAAATGAAATCAGAGGGAAATACAGACCCTATCACATGAGCCAGACTGGAAAAGAATTAACCTTGCTTAACTCTAATGTTATTATTTAGCCCCATGTATCAGGATGCAGATGTGAGAGAGGGGTTTTTTTTTTTTTGTTACTAAACATTTTGTATCATTTATTTAAAATGTAGTGCAAGTTCTCTCCCCTCATTCACAGGTTTACTTTTGACTGCTGGAACATTACAGCCCATTACCATCACTGGATCAGTTTATTTCAGAGGGCTCTGACAAAACTGTGGAATAGTATAAAAGCTTCTAAGTCCACAGATGCAACAACAGAGCATTCAGCTCCCTCCCCACAAGCTGGAGTGTGCATTTAACCTTCTAGCTGTTACAGATGTGACCCCCTCCCACAACAAGTAGGCACACAAGCAGGGATATGATTTTTCCTCATGCCTCAACTCACTCCATTAAAGCTTGTGTGACGCTGGCTCTTACCTGGCAAAGGCAGTTACTCCAAAATTGAGTGGGAAAGGGTGCTTCTGATATTTGCCTTTCCAAATTAACCCCCCCCCATTCCTCAGGAAGAGAAGTTTGATATTTATACAAACATAGCATTCACTACAACACTACCAACTGTAAGGCTTTTCAGTTTGCAATTAACTAAAGTTGGCATGACGGGTGACAAGCCAATGCCACCTGACTTTGTGGCAAGTGACACAGTTATATGCAGCAAGACGGCATGACGTTCTGAAGTGGTGATAGGACTTTGATCATGATGACCAACAACATAATCACCCATCAGTCTCCGCAAAAGACAGCAACCTCTGTAATGCTCCTATTCCCATACACATATATGACTGGCATAGCTTGGTTAGAGATGAGAGGGCTGGAAAGTGATAGCAACAGATAAAGGAGAAGAATTAAGAATTAGTTGTGTTACCTAATATGGGCTTGGAGGAATGGACCATTTTCTGAGCAGCATGGACTTCTTTCCCCAAGTATTGTCTATGCCAATGAAAAGCATATAAAATGACCTTTGACCCAGCAGCCACCCACATGCCAATCCCCAAAGCAAAGGCCACTATTCAAAAACACAGTTGTAGACAAAAATGACCATAAAATACCGCCAGAATCAGTGAAGTCCAGGTATATACATATTAGTTTCTGACAGGCAATGGTGCTGGCTGTGACACAGTCTTTTCAATTATGAAGAAAATGACAAGACTAGAAGGGTCTTAAAAGAGTTTTAAAAAGTCAGTATGATGAGCACGTATTGGGAAAACTGGGAAAGGCCATCACCATGCACAGCAGTAGGTGACCACACTTTCACTACTCGTTGGTGTTTTGTAGATAGATTTGAAATATCTGGGGGGTGAGAGTAGAAATGAAAAGGCCTCAGTAGGATAACCCTGGCAAAAGTTTTGGAGTGTTGTTACAGGATGCCTGCATGGATTGTTTCACTCAGAACCACCACCCCAGCCGTGCACAGCAAATAACCTTTGACAGCCAACTCTGACAGCTAAGAAGTGCAGGCTGGCAGAGGTGGGAGTTATCCTCTCCTTTCACCCCAGCCCCACATTACAAAAACTTCCAGCAGCATCTTATTTCTCACTGGATGTATTTCTCATCTTATTTCTCACTTCTTTAGGATGCAGGAGGCTATTGTGGTGAGTTACCAGTTTCCTTTTTTCTTCAGCCCTTCTTAATACTTTACACGTCAGAATTAATTTCCCTTTAAATTAGCTAACTTAGTCTTTAACTCTGGCCTGCTTCCCCGCTCCCAAGTGGGGCCACATGAATGTCTAGCAAGTCCTGACAATAAGCACATGGTTGAGCCAAAGTTGCCTGCAGTCAGCTCTCTCTCATCGCCACATCCACACATCCCCCTTCTTCCCAGCCTCTTTTAAAAAGTAAATCCTTTCCCACAAGAAGCCGAGGCGCCCTTTGTGAGGCAGTTTAGCAAAGCTGTGAGCTCTTAGGCATTAATAGCGGGTTTAGAGCCGAGGAGGGAGCTGGGGAGGGGTGGGATAGGCGAGAGGGTAAACACGACAATAGGAGGGGACAACAGTGGCCGCGCGGGGAGAAGAGACCACACTGAGGCTGATGGAGTTAGAGGGGCAGAGAAGCGAACCCAGACCAGCAAGCTCCAGGGAGGCGAGCACAGCGCTGGCTGAAGAGACCGCGCTCCGCGTGCCAGGGGCAGCGAACGCCCTGCACCGCACA